GGGGCTTCAGGGGCCAACGTGGCCCAAGAGACCCGCGGTGCCAATGGCCTAGTTCCCTGGAGCGCTGGGCCCTTGTGGAGGCCACTGGGCTCGCTTCCTGTGAGTGATCCCTAAAATGGGCAGCGCGTCGCCCTGAGCCTTCCTACGTATGCTGTCGCCTTATTCCCGTGCGAGCACGGGGCCCTCGTTGAGGCCGCTTGGCCCCTGCTAGCAAGCCCTGTCTTAGTCTGCTGGGCTCAGAGTGCCAGAGCGTCCAGGCGCTCGGGCTCAGAGGCATCGCTGGGGCCTGCTCAGAGCGTCCAGGCGCGCGGGCTCAGAGGCATCGCTGGGGCCTGCGCAGAGCGTCCAGGTCCTCGGGTTCAGAGGCATTGCTGGGGCCTGCGCAGAGCGTCCAGGTCCTCGGGCCCAGAGGCATCGCTGGGGCCTGCGCAGAGAGTTCAGGCGCTCGGGCTCCGGAGCGCCCACGTGCTCTGGATCATTTTTCAGAGCGTCCGCGCGCCCTGGAGCACTTTTGAGAGCGCCCACTTGCTCTGGAGCATTTTTCAGAGCGCCCAATTGCTCTGGGGCAGTTTTCAGAGCGCCCACTTGCTCTGGAGCACTTTGCGGAACGCCCAAACACGCACGGCCACTCTGAGCTGGTTGTAAAGTGGTCCGTTCTGGTTGTAAAGTGGCCCGTTCTGGTTGTAAAGTGGCCCGTTCTGGTTGTAAAGTGGTCCGTTCTGGTTGTAAAGTGGGCCGTTCTGGTTGCAAAGTGGACGTTCTCGATGAAAAACCATACTTTCCAATCCTATGTTGGTTGTAAAGTAACCCATCTGGTTGTAAAGTGGTTGTTCTGGTTGTAAAGAGACCGAATCTCGGGTCGCTACCCCCCCCCCCTTCCACGTGCCACAGGGGGGAGGGGGGGTGTCCGGACCCCCCCCCCCCCCTTCAGAGTGGGAGGGGGGGGTCGGATCCCCCCCCCTTACCTGGAAAGGGAGGGGGGGGGGGGTCGAAAATCACACCAAGACACCCCACCTTGGGAAACGGGCGGAGGGGTGGAGTCATAGGCGAAGCACAAAGAATACAGAGACACCCCCCCTTTTGTGTATTCAGGGCTATCCACTGGCGCGCTTTCCCAAACGTCATTCAGGGTTCCAGGCGCAGTACAGCGCAGGGGTCCCACTTTGCCCCCCAGCTGAGCAGACACGCGAACTCCACGAGCCCGATCCCGATCTCGATCCCCCTCCTCCTCCTCCTCCTTTTCACTCCTCCTCCACCTCCTCCTGCTCCTCCTCCTCCTCCTCCTCCTCCTCCTCCTCCCTCCTCTTCCTCCTCCCGCCATCCTTCCCTCCTCCTCCCCCATCCCCTCTCCGCGTCCCTCCCTCTATCCTTCCATCCTCCTCCTCATCAACATCCTCAATACATCATCATGATCATCACCATCATCATCCTTCTCCCCCTCCTCCTCCTCCCCCCCTCCTCCCCCTCCTCAACCCCCCCTCTGTTTTGCCTCCCCATCCTCATCCTCATCCTCGTCGTCCATCTCACCATCCTCACCCCTCCTCCTCCTCAATCCTCCTCCTCCTCCTCCTCCTCCCTCCTCCTCCTCCTCCTCCTCCTCCTCCCTCCCCTCCTCCACGCTCGACTCCTCTTAACCCTTCCCTCCTCCTCCTCCTCCTCCTCCTCTTCCTCCTCCTTATCCTCATCATCATCCTCTTCCCAATCCTTGTATTCATCTTCCTCTTCCTCCTCCTCCACCTCCTCCTCTCCCATCATCATCAGCATCGCCTTCCTCCTTATTCCTCCCCCCTTTTCCCTCTAGCTCCCCTTGTCAAGCCATCTGCGCACAGGCATTTGGTGCGCGCCGGCGCGCGCGCCTGCACGGGGAGCCCGAGGCACCTAAAGCGCGCCCCACGCCAGGAGTCCAGTCTGCGTGGCCAAAAGACGATTCCCATCCGCAGCAGTGCCCATCCCATGTCAGTCAGCACCCACCCCGACTCGCAAGGAGTATTTAAGGCGCATCAGTTTAGGGTTGTGGTCCAACGCGCACAGCAAAGCTGAATTGGAACGTCCAGCGCTGGAGATCCATTTTGAGATCTCTGCAGTGCGTTGGCAGGACTACTTCCCGGGACCCCAGTTCGGACAGTTGTTGTTCGGCGCGCTCGCATGAACGCCAGGAACAAGGCGCCGGCTAAAATCAACCGCCTTTCATCTTCTGACCAGGATGCGCGCAAGGTTTTCCCCGTGAATGTTTATCCCAGGCGTGTTGTTGGGCGTCCGAGGAGCACGGTTTAGCGCCGTACATGATCAAGCGATTGCGGGCCATGGCTCATGCCCTCTCACTTACGGCCTCGAATGCGACCCTGCCCAGGTTCCCGTACAGAGGGTCGTCAGCACGTGGTGCAGTAGAACGGCTGGGAGGGGCCCTCGTTTTGACCGCATCCACACGTCTCGGGAGAAGTCTTTTGAGCTGATATCTCTCGGCTGGCAGTTCCCTTCGCCGACTGAGGTCCATTAGCCCACGGGAAGTCTGGCAGATGGTGGACTCGAGCGGGGGTCTTGTGACCGCTCTCCTCGAGGCCTTCGAGGCCCATTTTGACGCTAACCATTGGCGAGCTACCGCCGCCTTTCATGACGGAGGCGGCGCGGTTCATGGCGTCGAATGGACACGCGTGGCGAGACTCATTCGGCGCGTCGCGAAAGACGCTGGTTTGACGCTGCCCCGCATGATTCGGCTGGTCGCACGCGGCGGTTATTGGCCAGAGGAGCGCAAGCACTCTGCTAAGGTTGCTCCTGATCCTCTGTGCCAGCAGTGTCGGTCATCTGCTGACTCGTCTTGTCATGTTTCTTGGAGTTGCTCATATCACGCCACCTCCTCTTGTAAGCACATTTCAAAGAGCGATTAGCTTTGCCAGCAGGCCCTTGACCGCATTGGTCAACACCGTATGTTTTGGTGTCGCGGTCTCATTCCCAAGGATGGGTTGCGTCTTCCCAGAGCTCCAGAGGATTGGGCGTTGGAGTTTTTGTCTGTTGCCATGATGGCCCTCTCCCGAGAGGAATTTTCGGCGCCGATGGTTCGATGAGGATGCGAAGCTTGCCCGTCTGGCAGTTTCTTTAGTATCGCATCATCTTTTCTTCAATGCGATCGCGGTTGCTCTGGCCAGGGCGCGGTCGGCCAGCGCCCAGATCCCGGCCGATGTGGTTCGTGAAGTTGTTGAGTTTGAACATTCGGCTTACCGCATCTTGCGAAGTATTGGTTCCATCATTTTGGAACGAACCAGGGGCCCCAATAATCCAGAGCGCATAGTACATCGTGCCCGGCTACTGCGAGTGGTCCGCAGGCGGAAGGTTGTGATTGCATGTATTGATATTTCCAGCCATCATGTCGAGCTTGTGGCCAAGGACATATGGAGGCGCACAGCGTGCAACAATTAGATAATTGCAACCCGCCGCTCGCCTGTTTTTCCGAACGGTGCGTTCGCAGTGCGCGGCCTTTGTGCAAATTGCGCCTCCCAGCGGTCTCGCAGGTCGGCAAAGCACCAATCGATGATGACCTTCGGCGTGGGCTTGAAATGACCGACCCATCTCGACGTTTGCATTCCCCAGACTACGTCCACGGGCACAGGGTACATGACAGCCACTCTGCATGCATGGAGTAAAGGCCGTTTCACCTTCTGTGGGTTGAGCGGATGTTGGGCGGAATCGAAGCCCAGTCGCCAAGTCGCCTCGAAAGGCCAGTCGCCAAGTTGCGATTTGCACATGGAGTGCCAAGTCGCCTCGAAAGGCCCAGCGGCCCTCACGGTATATAGTCGTGAGGCGTTGAGGGGGGTCAGGCAAGGCAAACTCCGAAGAAAAAGTGCTTTGAGTGGGGGAGCACGGTCGATACATGTATCGATTTGTAAGTCGCAATTTTCAGTTGTTGTTTGGCAATATCTTGGGAAGTTTGACGGGCAGCGGTGCACAGCAATCCTCCTCCTCCTCCTCCTCCATTCCTCCCGCGTCAAGTTGATGCCTGCTGCTGCCGTTCCCCCTCACCACCTTCTCCTGCTCCTCTCTCCTCTTCCTCTTCCCCCGGCTCCACCCCATCGTCCCTCCTCCTCTCTCCTCCTCCTCCTCCCTCCTCCTGCTGCTCCTCCTCCTCCTCCTCCTCCTCCTCCTCCCCCTGCTCCTCCTCCCCCTGCTCCTCCTCCCCCGCCTCCTCCTCCCCCTCCCCCGCCCACTCGCATTCGGCGCCCTCCGCCGCCCGATCGGACGCCCGATGGCGCCATGCGCCGCCCCGAATCGTGGACCTGGTCCTCGCGCGCCAGATCCACGGATCCCTAATCCACGTCAGCGCGCGCCCCGGCGACATCGCCCCCGCTTGGGAGGTTCACAGCCTGAAAAACCCATGCCAAAAAGCACCCTGCCTGCTTCCAGGGTGCCCTGGGCTTCTCGGGTTTCGATGGCTCTGCCACGGCCACGGAGAGCGCGCCGTTCCCATGGCGGAGAGCAGTGGACGGCCTGGGGCTCCGGGGTTGGGTCTTTTTTGGAAGGCCTCCTGCGGTCGAGCTCCTCCTGAATCTGGGCACCCTCCGGGAAGATTCCCAGGCCTGCCCTCGCCGCGAAGAGGCGCGACGGGAGGTTGTTGTTCGTTTTTGGACCTCCCCCAAGCCCGTTCAAGAAAAACCCGCGTTGGAACACCTGCGACAAAGGCAACAGTGTGCAACAACGAAAAACGGCGTCTGAGATCTGAGCCTGTCGCCACGGCTAGACGCGGCTCGAATAACTTGTCAAATTGGCGGGGTGGACTCTAGCGAGATGTCCGCGGGGCTGGACGCGGCTGGATAGAGACCAGCTGTGGTGGATCGGGGACGACGCGAAAAGGACGGCCTTGTAGAAAGGCAGGGAGCACATAGAAAGCAACTTCGCCTTCTAATGGAAACACCTTTCCAGAAAACTCCGATCCATTCTACCAAGAATTTGTTGGCAGTCCGCCCCCTCGCCCCGCCCGCTTCTGCGCGCCGCCAAGGGGTATATAGGAGGACCGTGCCGTGCTCTTGTCCGAAGGCAGGAGATTTTAGTGGCGTCGCTGTTTTGATTCGAGTGCCACCGCCAACTTCAGACCATGTTCGGACGCGCGGAAGAAGCGCTCGCCCTGTTGCAGCCAGGCGGCCAATGTCAGCCCTCTTGCGCCGCCTTGGCAGCAAATCCTCGCGGACAATCAGTGCGCATTTTTCCCCCCGCTGCTGCGCTGGCAAGCTGTCAAGTGAGCGACGGGGAAACACGGGGTCGACCGTGCGGACGTCTCCACGCAAGCTGCCCGCGCAAGGCCGCGCGCGAGCGCCCGCCTTCCTGCGTGGCGTGCCGCGCTGGCGGCCCCCGTTAGCCACCGCGTGGGGTCGTTGTGCCATCTCGCGTACAGGGACCCTTCCTTTCGGAGGAGCGTAAGACCCGGGTTTGTCAGGACTCGGGTTCGCCATCGTTTTTTGACGACCGCGACTCGGATTTTGACGAGTAGGAGTTTCGTGGGATGTCTGCAGCGGGAGGCCTCGTCAAAATGCAGGCTCGGCCTCGTCATTTTTTGACGACCTCGTCGGGGAGTTCCGAGTCCCCGGTACCCAGGTCTTACGTCCCCCTGATCCTTGCCTGTCGCTCAGAGGGCTCCGAGCCCGAGTCCTCGCCTCCCCCCCTGTGGCGATCGCGAGGGAGCCGCCGCGCGCCCTCTCCCCCTGGCGCGCTCTGCTTCGAGGTGGGCGGCTTTTCAACGCGCGCGCCGGACGCGAGGGGCGCGGGGCGGCACCTGGCAGGGGGGCAGGAAGCCAGGACCAGACCAGAGAGGAGGAGGAGGAGGAGGAGGAGGAGGAGGAGGAGGGAGGCAGGCGGAGGATGCGGAGGAGGGAGGAGGGGGAGGAGGAAGGCGTAGGGGCCTTCCGCCGAGGGGCCAGATGAGAGGGAGCAGGGCCAAACAGAAGGCTGCGCTGCTTCTCGGAAGGCCTCCAGGCCTTATGAGGATCCTCCTCCTTCCTCCTCCCTCCTCCTCCTCCTCCTCCTGCCTCCTCCTCTCCTCCTCCCACCCCCAGCCCCCTCCTCCTTCTCCCGCCTCCACCTGCCTCCTCCTCCTCCTCCTCCCCCTCCTCCTCCTCCTCCTGTTCTTTTGCAGAAGGCTTCGAGAGTTGCTCAGAAGTCCCGAGGCCTTATGAGCGTTCTGAGAATGCCCACCCCATCTCTCGCCGAGCGGGTTCCGCTACTCGCAGAGTGTGTACTCTGTACTCGCAAACGTCAGGAAGCACAGAGTGCCTATTCGCAAACGTCAGAACACATGTCTTCATGTACGCAATGGATCGTAAATCCCCCGCGGCGGATCCAGGCCATGTGCGAGTACAGTGGAGACCCATGCCATGAAGCACCCTGCTTGCCTCCAGGGTGCCCTGGGTTTCTTGGGTTTCGATGGTTCTGCCATGGAGAACGCGACGTGCCCACACCAAACATCAGTGGACGCCCCGGGGTCTCAGGGTTGAGTGTCTTGTGGAAGGCTTCTTGTGGTCGAGCCCCTACTCGCAAGGTGCCTACTCGCAAACGTCAGAAACAAAAAAAACATGTTCTCATGTATGGAATGGGTCGTTGGGGGAATGAACATTGGCATAAACAGAAAAACTCGGAGGTCCGCACGGATTTCTCGGATCGCCGCTCGACCCCCTTCCCTGGCGCGCGGAGCGCGCCAGGGGCGGCGCCTGAGGCGCCACCAGGGGGCCCCAGCGCCGATACGAGAAATCCGCGCGGACCTCTGAGTTTTTCTGTTCATGTCACTGTTCGTTCCCCTGATCGTAGATCAAACGCGGTGGATCCAGGCCACCTGCGAGTGGTACCTTCGCGAGCAGTGGCACGCGCTCGTCTACGGGATACCCCTACAGTCAACCCGCATAGTAAGGTTGAGTCGGGCATGATCCTCTTCTTGAGGAATAGCCCAAAACAGTCAATCATCATCCGGTGCCGATGTTGTTACGTACTGTTTTGGGGGCTATGTTTGCATACGCTTTGACGACGCTGCGTTGTTCGCCGTCGCCTCGCGAGCAGTGGCACGCGCTCGCAGGCGCGCTCGCTCCCCCCCCCTTGGCATCGCTCGGACGTGCGTTTTTTCCTCGGCGAGGACCATCGAGGAGCATCCTTGATCATCTGGCGAAGAAACCACGCACGAAACCGAAAAAAACACAGGGAACGGACGTCCGAGCGATGGCCAGTGGGCGGTGGGGGGATGGGGACGGGGACGCTCCGTCGGAAGGTCAGTCTCCCCCCAAACCCCCTCGATCGTTTTGCCATCCGGAGCACAGTCGTCCCTTGACAAGTGGGTCGACCCTGCCAAGTCGAGGGTGCCCTTCTGTGCTGCGCCTCGCGACCCCTTCGGGGGCGCGCCGCGGAGGTCCGGCCGGGTGGCTCCTCTCGCCGCGAAGGAGAGGGGGGAGAGAGCCCCCGCGGCCGGCACGGGGGCCGAGGTCGGGCCCCCCGGTGCGCCGCAGGGGTGCCCCCCTGCAGCTGCGTGTCCTGTTCGTGGCGGGTCTGTTCGTGTCGAAGCCATAGGCAGGAGGAGGAGGAGGAGGAGGAGGAGGAGGAGGAGGAGGACGACGACGACGAGGGAGGATGAGGGAGGAGGAGGAGGAGGAGGAGGAGGAGGAGGAGGAGGAGGAGGAGGAGGAGGGAAGAGGAGGAGGCAGGAGGAGGAGGAGGAAAAGGAGAAGATGTCGAGTCGTGTCTATGTCATCGCCGTGTCATCTACTCTTCGTGCATCTCCATGGCGTTCCGTCGGCCAATCCACGAAGCAACCGAACCAAGCCAGAATGAGGGGGGCGGAGCCCTTCCAAGAAGGGATCCCATGCAGATTCGGCGAGACCCCGTGGTTCACATTCAGATTCGGCCGCGTGGTGTGCCAGGACACGTCGGTCCCGCTACAGGATCGGTGGTTCAAGGATTTGGTCCTGAGGGATGGTGTCCTCAGGGCAGGAAGGGATCCAAGGGTGGATCTACGTTGTCTGAGGCACCTCGTCCTTAGGACCCCATCCCTCAGGACCCCATCTTTGAACCACCGACAGGAGGAAGATTCAAACATAGTCGAAATATAGGATGGAGACGATGTTTGACTATTTGGGGGGTACTGTTGCGTATGTATTGACTGTTGGTTATTTCTGGTCCCAAAAACAACCTGTAGGAAGACATGCCCGACCTAATAGTAGGGATTCAGGAGCGAAAGAAGAACGTACATGTACATGGAACCCACGCTGGTTTCGAGAACACGCGTTGCGCGAACATTCGTATCACGCGGCTGGTCTCGCGGATTGAGGGGGGGCCGTGTTCATGTACATGGTTGGGCGCGTATGTCTTTTGTGGATTCCCTCAGGCCCTAAGGATGAGCGATTTTTTCCAAGGTTGCCCTTGCATACTTCCTCTTCAACCCGTCCTTGACCGCTTTCGCCGGCCGTGCCCTGCTCGCAAAATGTCGGCATGGCCGTCCAAGGCCTCTGCATCCTTATTCCGGATGGCACAACAATCTCAGGAGGGAAAGAAACACACAGACACAATTAATCGTCGATTCCCAGGAAAATATTGGAAAATATGTGAATTGGGGGGGAAGACAAAAACACAGAAAATATATGAAAATATGGGGAATCTTGTTATTTGTGTGTATTTCCCAACCCTCTTGGTTGGGTATTCGTTTTGATTAGAGCATTGTGGTCGCCACTCCTTCCTCCTCCTCCCTCCCTCCCTGCCTCCTCCTGTCTTGCCTGCGGGTGGCTGCGATCTGTGAAACTGTCGCCATTTTCGAGGCCTGCTGGGGGGCCCAGCACAGTGAGGGCGACGCGCGGATTCAAATTAAACTCGCCATCCTGGGGGGGCTGCGATCTGTGAAACTGTCGCGGATTCAAATTAGACCTCGCCATCCCTGGGGGGCTGCGATATGTGAAACTGTCGCCAGTTTCGAGGCCTGCTGGGGGGCCCAGCACAGTGAGGGCGACGCGCGGATTCAAATTAGACCTCGCCATCCCTGGGGGGCTGCGATCTGTGAAACCGTCGCCATTTTCGAGGCCTGCTGGGGGGCCCAGCACAGTGAGGGCGACGCGCGGATTCAAATTAGACCTCGCCATCCCTGGGGGGCTGCGATTTGTGAAACTGTCGCCACTTTCGAGGCCTGCTGGGGGCCCAGCACAGTGACGCCACGCGCGGACCCAAATTAGACCTCGCCATCCCTGGGGGGCTGCGATCAGTGAAACTGTCGCCACTTTCGAGGCCTGCTGGGGGGCCCAGCACAGTGAGGGCGACGCGTCGATTCAAATTAGACCAGACCTCGACCAACCCAGGCCCTCCTGCATTCTGTGCAACTGTCAAATGTGTTCGTTTGTGCCTGGGGGGGCCCAGCACAGTGACGCCACACGCAGATCCAAATTATACCTCGCCATCCCTGGGGGGCTGCGATCTGTGAAACTGTCGCCACTTTCGAGGCCTGCTAGGGGGCCCAGCACAGCGACGCCACGCGCGGATTCAAATTGGACCTCGCCATCCCTGGTGGGCTGCGATCTGTGACACTGTCGCCACTTTCGAGGCCTGCTGGGGGCCCAGCACAGTGACGCCACGCGCGGACCCAAATTATACCTCGCCATCCCTGTGTGGGGCTGCGATCCAGTGAAACTGTCGCCACTTTCGAGGCCCATGCTGGGGGGCCCAGCACAGTGAGGGAGGCGAAGCGAGCGGATTATCAAATTAGACCTCGGCCATCCCTGGGGGGCTGCGATCTGTGAAACTGTCGCCACGTTCGAAGGCCTGCTGGGGCCCAGCCAGTGACGGCCAACGGGCAGGAATTCAAATTCAGAAACCCGCCATCCCTGGGGGTTATGCGATCATTGGGAAACAGTCGCCACTGAGTCTATGCCTGCTGGGGGGGTCCCAGCACATGACGCCGACGCGCAGGACCCAAATTTAGCCTCTAGCCATCCCTGGGGGGGACAGCGATATGTGAAACTGTCGCCACTTTCGAGGCCTGCTGGGGGGTCCTGCATAGAGGGCAATCGCGGCGGATTCAAATTAGACCTCGCCATCCCTGGGGGGCTGCGATCTGTGAAACTGTCGCCACTTTCGAGGCCTGCTGGGGGGGCCAGCACAGTGACGCCACGGGCGGACCCAAATTAGACCTCGCCATTCCTGGGGGGCTGCGATCCGTGAAACTGTCGCCACTTGCGAGGCCTGCTGGGGGGCCCAGCACAGTGACGCCACGCGCGGACCCAAATTAGACCTCGCCACCCCTGGGGGGCTGCGATCTGAGATCCCCGCTTTCGAAGTGGCTAGGGTTGCTCAGGGGTTGTAACTAATCAGCTTTATATAGCCCTTGTCCTGTAACCAGTGTCCTGCGAGTCTCCCGAATTCCGTCTGCAGACATATGTAACCCTCGCTCCGCCATCGCACCCCTTATACAGTGTTCTAAACTATTTGCGCCCCGCGTTTGCGCAGGGGCTGGGTACGTCGCCAGGGTAATTATTTGTGTGTCCGTTGGCCGCTTCACAGTCGCCAACCCCCATGTGGGTCCTGGGTGGGGGGGTGGGCGCGTACCGTCGGGGGCGAGGGGGTTTTGGGGGAGATGCTAGCTTTGAAACTCAAGTTCCTTGGGCTTGGCATCGCTCGGACGTGTGCATTCTTCCTTCGGCGAGGACTATCGAGGAGCATCCTTGATCGTTTGGCGAAAAAAAACAACGCACGAAACCGAAACTTACCCTGGCGACGTACCCACCCCCTGCGCAAACGCGGGGCGCAAATAGTTTAGGACACTTTATAAAGGGGGCGATGACGGAGCGAGGGTTGCATACGTCTGCAGACGGAAGTCGGGAGACTCGCAGGACATTGGCTTCAGGACAAGGACTAGATAAAGCCGATTAGTTGCAATCCCTGAGCAGCCCTAGCCACTTCGAAAGCGGGGATCTCAGATCGCAGCCCCCCAGGGACGGCGAGGTCTACTTTAGGTCCGCGCGTGGCGTCACTGTGCTGGGCCCCCCAGCAGGCCTCGAAAGTGGCGACAGTTTCACAGATCGCAGCCCCCCAGGGATGGCGAGGTCTAATTTGGGTCCGCCCGTGGCGTCACTGTGCTGGGCCCCCCAGCAGGCCTCGAAAGTGGCGACAGTTTCACAGATCGCAGCCCCCCCAGAGATGGCGAGGTCTAATTTGAATCCGCCCGTGGCCCTCACTGTGCAGGGCCCCCCCAGCAGGCCTCGAAAGTGGCGACAGTTTCACAGATCGCAGCCCCCCAGGGATGGCGATGTCAAATTTGGGCCCGCCCGTCGCCTTCACTGTGCAGGGCCCCCCAGCAGGCCTCGGAAGTGGCGACAGTTTCACAGATCGCAGCCCCCCCCCAGAGATGGCGAGGTCTAATTTGAATCCGCGCGTGGCCTTCACTGTGCTGGACACCCCAGCAGGCCTCGAAAATGGCCGCAGCTTCACAGATCGCAGCCCCCCACGGATGGCGAGGTCTAATTTGAATCCGCGCGTCGCCGTCACTGCGCTGGGCCCCCCAGCAGGCCTCGAAAATGGCGACAGTTTCACAGGTCGCAGCCCCCCAGGGATGGCGAGGTCTAATTTGAATTTGCGCGTCGCCATCACTGTGCTGGGCCCCCCAGCAGGCTTCGAAAATGGCGACAGTTTCACAGATCGCAGCCCCCCAGGGATGGCGAGGTCTAATTTGAATCTGCGCGTCGCCCTCACTGTGCTGAGCCCCCCAGCAGGCCTCGAAAATGGCGACAGTTTCACAGATCGCAGCCCCCCCAGGGATGGCGAGGTCTAATTTGAATCTGCGCGTCGCCCTCACTGTGCTGGGCCCCCCAGCAGGCCTCGAAAATGGCGACAGTTTCACAGATCGCAACCCCCCAGAGATGGCGAGGTCTAATTTGAATCTGCGCGTCGCCCTCACTTTGCTGGGCCCCCCAGCAGGCTTCGAAAATGGCGACAGTTTCACAGATCGCAGCCCCCCAGGGACGGCGAGGTCTAATTTGGGTCCGCCCGTCGCCCTCACTGTGCAGGGCCCCCCAGCAAGCCTCGAAAGTGGCGACAGTTTCACAGATCGCAGCCCCCCCAGAGATGGCCAGGTCTAATTTGAATCCGCGCGTGGCCCTCACTGTGCTGGGCCCCCCAGCAGGCCTCGAAAATGGCGGCAGTTTCACAGATCGCAGCCCCCCACGGATGGCGAGGTCTAATTTGAATCTGCGCGTCGCCCTCACTGTGCTGGGCCCCCCAGCAGGCCTCAAAAATGACGACAGTTTCACAGATCGCAGCCCCCCAGAGATGGCGAGGTCTAATTTGAATCTGCGCGTCGCCCTCACTGTGCTGGGCCCCCCAGCAGGCTTCGAAAATGCGGACAGTTTCACAGATCGCAGCCCCCCAGGGATGGCGAGGTCTAATTTGAATTGGCGCGTCGCCCTCACTGTGCTGAGCCCCCCAGCAGGCCTCGAAAATGGCGACAGTTTCACAGATCGCAGCCCCCCCAAGGATGGCGAGGTCTAATTTGAATCTGCGCGTCGCCCTCACTGTGCTGGGCCCCCCAGCAGGCCTCGAAAATGGCGGAAGTTTCACAGATCGCAGCCCCCCCAGGGATGGCGAGGTCTAATTTGAATCTGCGCGTCGCCCTCACGTTGTTGGGCCCCCCAGCAGGCCTCGAAAATGGCGACAGTTTCACAGATCGCAGCCCCCCGCAGGCAAGACAGGAAGAGGCAGGGAGGGAGGGAGGAGGAGGAAGGAAGGAGTGGAGACCACACTGCTCCATTCAAAACGAATACCCAACCAAGGAGGGTTGGGAAAAACACAGGGAATGGACGTCCGAGCGATGGCCAGTGGACGGTGGGGGGATGTGGATGGGGACGCTCCGTCGGAAGGTCAGTCTCCCCCCAAACCCCCCGATCGTTTTGCCATCCGGAGCACAGTCGTCCCTGATAAGTGGGTCGACCCTGCCAAATCAAGGGTGCCCTTATGTGCTGCGTCTCGCGACCCATGCCTACTGCATTCCTGTGGCAATGTGGCCCTGGGAAGGGTCTCGTGTCCTCGCGCGTGTCCTGTCCGATCAAGTCCGGCTGTGTCGTGCGTGCTTATTAGAACGGGTTGGCTGTGCGGTGCTCCTCGCGCGGGGCCTTCCACACCAGAATGCTCGTCGCTTGGGGTATCTCCACGGGGCCTCAGGCCCTCGGCGACGGGGCTGCTCGTGCTCTTGACCCGCGATCGTGTGGTCACCTCCTCCACCCTCCTCCTCCTCCTCCTCATCCTCCTCCTCATCCTCCTCCTCCTCCTCCTCCTCCTCTTCCTCCTCCTCCTCCTCCCTCCCCCCCTCCTCCTCCTCCTCATCCCCATCCTCATCCTCTTTCTCCTCCTCATCCTCATCTCTCTCCTCCTCCTCCTCTCCTCCTCCTCCTCCTGCCCCTCCTCCTCCTCCTACTACTCCTCCTCTTTTCTTTCCTCCTCCTCCTCCTCCTCCTCCTCCTCCTCATCTTTCTCCTCCTCCTCCTCCTCCTCCTACTAATACTCTTTCTCCTCCTCTTTCTCCTCCTCTTCCGTCCTTGGAGACCTGCCTCTTGGAAGGCAGGCCACCGTCCTAGTCCTATTCCTCCTTCTCCGGTCTTCTCCTCCTCCTCCTCCCCTACGTTTCCGTCTGCCTCGGTGCACAGCTCGCCTTTCCGCGCCCCCGTTCGTGGTCGCGATCGTGTGGCCGCGAGCGTGTTACCGAGTTGCGACCAACTGGGCCGGCGGTAGGCCCGTGCCGTGTCGACACGGCCGCGACCCCGGCGCGGGCGATCAGAGTTGAAAATTACAAGTTCCATCATGGACCCCTTGTTGAGCACAGGCATTCAGCTTTCACGTCGAAGACCGGTAGAGACCGCCGAAGACCGCGGGAAGCCGCCGAAGAGCGCGGGAAGGCACCGAAGACCGCCGGGAGACCGCCGAAGCCCGCCGGAGACCGCCCGAGGCAGATGGGTAACAAGGGGTCCATGGTCGAATACGTAGAACAGGCGCTCATGCACTGAAGAAGATGTCCTGCCTTATGATGTTCTAGCCTACTCTAGCCTGTTTTACCACAGTTATTTCGAGCACCAAGAAAACCCCTCATCTGGAGGGTGTTCACGTGTCGGGCCCTGGGAGGCGATACTCGTTCGACATTGTTTCGACACTTTTCTGGGTGCTCGAAATGATGTTTGGGATGTGGTCCTTAAGTACGATGGGAACAACATAAGTCCTGCCGCACGCTTCCAGGAGTGCGCATCTGTGGCTGCTAACTACTCTCCAGTCGCCGATCCCAGGAGTCCCTGCAGGAGCATCGGGCATGATGTTCCGACGTCGTGTGCGGTCGCCCTTTGGACCTCTCGCCGGCAGGTGACCACTCAAGACCACGCCACGGCCACCTCTCGGGAGGCAGGTTGGCGCAGTGCACGGAGACCTTCACTATTGGCGTGGCAGCGTTCCCCACAGTGTGCTCTGAGTGTCGCCCAGCTTTTCAAATACACGCTCGTGCCAAATGGGCAAAATCTCAGACTTACAGGGGGCCAGTCTGGCCGGTCCCACCACGTGGCCGGGCAGTTGGGCTGAAATGTTTATGGCATGCAGCGTCCAGTTCTCTTTTCGGCTGAGAAGACCACGCGGTTCGCAGAGGCAAGCACAGACATCGGGGGGGACAACTGCACAACACCGAATCCAAACGCACTGCAAACGAGACGTGCTTCGCTCTGGAGATCTACCGGGTCCGGAACTGCCTGATGCCGATCGATCTGCGTTGTCGCAAAGCCGCCATCGATCAAGGTTGAGGGACCCGAGCGGTGCAATACACCGACGCCGAGTCCGTCACGATCTGGACCTGCCGTAGATCGCCACTCCCTGGGCCCGCCATGAAGAACACGGATCTTGAGGCAAGTGGGTCCCAGACCCTTAGACGTTTCCCGCGACCAGTGTTTTGCCCCCAGTGCCCGAAAGTGGCGAACAGAAACGAGAACCCGTTTCCCTCAGGACCCCATCAGGGCCCCAGGGATCTCAACCATTTCTTTGGGGTCAGTCTGTCGTCACGGATCCATGTTGGGGCCCCAGGGCGGTTCCCAAGGGGACGACATCTAGGAAACTAGTTGTTCTCATTTTTGACCAAAAACAAAAAACACTCCATGGAACCGCTTTTTTCCATTCGGCCTCACCACCATGTGAGGAAGGCAGAAAGGGTGGGCCTTATCAGACGGCTCAAAAGGCTCCTGGCCATGTCAGACGCTTTCTAACCCTTCTCCCAAGCCAGACTGTGTTCCTCAGAAGGCCAGGGGAGCTTTGAGAAGCCCCGCCGCCTTGAGGGCAGGTTTGCCCTTCCTCACTTCCTCCCTCGGCGCACCGCCGAAGGAGGAGGTGGAGGAGGGTGAGACGAGGGAGGAGGGAAGAGGGAGGGAGGACGGATGAAGGAGGGATGAGGAGGTGGCGGAGAAGGTGGAGGGGGGAGGAGGGGGAAGAGGAGGAGGAGGGAGGAGGAGGAGGAGAGGAGGAGAGGGAGGAGGAGGGGGAGGAGGAAGGAGGAGGGAGGAGGGGGAGGGAGGAGGGAGGAGGGAGGAGGGGGAGGAGGAGGGAGGGGGAGGAGGGGAGGAGGAGGAGGAGGAGGAGGAGGAGGAGGAGGAGGAGGAGGAGAAGGACGAGTCCAGGGAAGCTGGTCTGGCCAGGCCTCCTCCCCCGCGTTCCTTACCGAGCGGGCGGCGCCGGACGGCCGCCGAGGGCAGGCTGGCTCCGTGCGTTCAGGCTGGGCTGTCGTCCGAGAGTTCCAGCGCCCCAGCGGAAGCGCACGCGCCCCAGCGGCACTTCCTCCTCCTTTTGATCCTCTTTTTCCTCTTCCTCCTCCTCCTCCTCCTCCTCCCCTCCTCCTCCTCCTCCCCCTCCTCTCCTCCTCCTCCTCCTCCTCCTCCTCCTCCTCCTCCCCTCCTCCTCCTCCTCCTCCTCCTCCTCCCCTCCTCCCTCCTCCTCCTCCTCCCTCCTCTCCTCCTCCTCCTCCTCCTCCCTCTTCTTCCTCCTCCTCCTCCTCTGCCTCCTCCTCTGCCTCCTTGGGGGAGGTGCGGGGAGGGAAAGACTGCGGAGCGCGCGCGGTCCTTGCATGGACTGCGCGTGTCCCTCTTCGCTTCTGCCCTGTTATCGGTCAGGGGATCCTGACCCCCACCAGATGGGGCGACGGTTCCCCCCCCCCCCCTCCCCCCTTCGATTTCGTTGCACTGTTCAAGGGGGGGCCCCCCCGCGTGGCGGCAGCGGGCCGAACGCCAAAACTCTTCCGCCCGCTCCCGCGAGCAAGCCCAGAAGGGGGCCCTGCCCAATCGTCCCTTCGCAGGGAGGCCAGAAGAGCCCATCGGTTTTCGGCCGTTCGGGATTCTCTCCCCAAGCGCCGTACCTTACCTCCTCTTCCTCCTCCTCCTCCTCCTCCCCTCCTCACCTCTCGTTTTTCGCTTCTCCTTCTCCTTCTCCTCCTCCTCCTCCTGCCTGGGCGCGATCGCGATCATTGTGGTGGAAGGAAACTCTGATAGAGAGGGAAAGAGAGGGGGCGAGAGAGAGAGAGTCAGAGAGAGAGAGAGACAGAGACAGAGAGAAAGGAAAAAAGTAGATCAAGGTAACAGGCTAGAAGTCAGTCAGGGTGGGCATTTAATCTCAATCCCCCCCAACCTCCTTATCGCCCGCCACGCGCATTTCGGCCCACATCTCACACTTAACGTTGCACATATATCGGAGGTTGTAGAGTGAGATCGCAGTAAAACGGAGACCACCCACCGGGAAATCGGTTTCGGTTTCGTGTACGTGTCGCGCGTGCGGGCGAGGCGAAGCTGCGCGTGATCCTCCTGTAGCTAGGCCGAAGTAGGAGCGAAAGTCCGTTCACGTCCGCCGGTGGCTGGGAGGTGTCCCAGTTGGGCCCGGCGGTGTTCCGGGTGTCTCGGGTGTCAGTAGGAGCGAAAGTCCGTTTCCCGTCCGCGAGTGGCCGGGAGGTGTCCCAGTTGGGCCGGGCGGTGTCCTGGGCGTCCCGGCGCGAACGCATGTCGCAAATTTCATAATTCATTTTTTGTTCGGCTCCTGCGGCGGGCTTTCTTATCCAATCCAGCTTATCTTATCCAATCCATCTTGTCCAATCCAATCCATTTCACCTTATATCCAAGCCATCTTGCCCCATCTGATCGTATCCACCCCAATCTAATCCACCCAACCCAATCCATCAATGTATTTGTTTCTGCGCCTGCGGCGGGCCAATCCAATCCATCTTATCTTATCCAATGCATTTCTTCCCTCCAACCCATATTATCTTATCCAATCCATATTACCCCATCCAATCCAATCCACCCAACCCAATCCATCAATTCATTTTTGTCGGCGCCTGCGGCGGGCCTTCTTATCCAATCCAAGAGAGAGAGTCAAGGCAACAGGCTAGAGGTCAATTAGGGTAAACATTTTAATATCAATCCCCCCAACCTCCTTATCGCCCGCACGGCGGTCTTATAGGTATATACGTACATACGTGCGCCATCCACTATTGCAGAGCAGCATATCTGATCTGCACAGAAGCCTCCGAGGACCTCCCCGGGGACGTTCAGGGATCTTGTCCCATCTTATCTTGTCCAAGCCATCTTATCTTGTCCCATCTTATCTTGTCCCGTCTCATCTTATCCAAGCCATATTGTCCCATCTTATCTTACCCACCCCAATCTAATCCACCCAACCCAATCCATCAATGTATTTGTTTCTGCGCCTGCGGCGGGCCAATCCAATCCATCTTATCTTATCCAATGCATTTCTTCCCTCCAACCCATATTATCTTATCCAATCCATATTACCCCATCCAATCCAATCCACCCAACCCAATCCATCAATTCATTTTTGTCGGCGCCTGCGGCGGGCCTTCTTATCCAATCCAAGAGAGAGAGTCAAGGCAACAGGCTAGAGGTCAATCAGGGTAAACATTTTAATCTGCATCCCCCCAACCTCCTTATCGCCCGCAGGGCGGTCGTATAGGTATATACATACATACGTGCGCCATCCATTATTGCAGAGCAGCATACAGTCGGGGCGCTGAAGAAGGAACCCTTTTCGTTGGGGAGGGGCTCCGTGTTCCTTGATTGTTTCACAGCTTGCCCTAGGTTCCCCACAGGTTTTCGATGGGAAACCGAACCTTCACTGGTGGGAAAAAGGGGCCTCGTTCCTTATTTAGGGTTCCTTAGGTCGACGCCCCGACTGTATCTGATCTCGCCCCCCCCCCCAACTTCCTTATCGCCCGCAGGGCGGTCGTACAGGCATATACGTACATGCGTGCGCCATCCACTACTGCAGATCGAGCAGCGTATCTGATCTGCACCGAAATCTCCGAGGACCTCCCCGGGGACGTCCAGGGATCAGGCGAGTCCCCCTTGCCGAGCTCGCGAGAAGTCGTGCCGCCGCTTCTCTCGCGCGGGCACTGCCCCGAGCCACTTCTCGCCGAGCCGCGACGAGCCCGCCCGTGGCGAGGGGAAGGCCCCCCCAAGGCCTGAACGAGACGAGCAGGAAGGAGGAGGGAGCTAATTCACCGTGGCGCGCGCCCTGGGGGTGCCCTGGGGGGCTCCTGGGGAGCTCCTGGTGGGCTCCTGGCGAGCTCCTGGGTGGGCTCCTGGAGTGCCTCGGGCGGGAGTTTTTTCACCGTGGCGCGCGCCCTGGGGAGGGCCCTGGGGGGCTCCTGGGGGTGCCCTGGGGGCCCTCTCGCCCGTTCCCCCCCCTCCGGAGGTCCACATAGCCTTAAGTCGGGCCTGTCCCCCTACAGGGGGAGTTTCGACGAAAAATAAAAAAAATACACCAAAAATAATCAAAAAATAGTCCAAAAATAGTCTGGGGACTATTTTTGGAGTATTTTTTGTGAACTTCTTGGTGTATTTTTGGTGTCTTTTTACATTTTTCGTCGAAAATCCCCCTGTAGGGGGACACGCCCAACATAAACATAGCCCCCCTCCTGCCCCGCAGGGGTCCCCGCAGGTTTCCGCGCAGGCCCCGCGGGAGTCCTTTGGAGGCGCCCGGAGGCCCCCACGGGCGCCCAGAAGAGGTTCCCTACTGAACGCACCTGTCACAAGCGAGGCCCCGATCTTTGATCCTTCTCTTCGGCGCGTAACTGATCTGGCAGTGGCTGAAAAGGGGCGCGGGGTAAGCATGAGATCCTCTTCGCTGCTTGCGCCACGCCGTCCCCTAAAAGACCAAACTCCGGGCCACAAACCCGCGCGTGAATGAAGGGACACAGCATAGACACCTCACGACCCGCAGTCACTTGGAAAATTGTCGCCCCGAAGGACTTCCCGAAGCATCCTTCATCCCCCTCCCTCTCCAGAAGAAGTGCCGCTCGCCCTGCGACGCCGCCATGCGCCGGGGGCCGGCGGCTGGGCTTGGCTATCGGCGGTCGCGTCCGCGCATTTGGGGAGTCCCCCCACGCGGGCTCGCTGGACAAAAGAGGCCGCGGGTGCACGGACGGGAAGAGGGGAAGGTAGTGCCGCGATCGCCAGCGCCGGGTCACCTCGGTGACCCTGCCGTGCGTCGAGTCGTGGCCTCCCTCCCGATCAGCTTGTGCGTGGCGCCAGGGCGCACTTGCAAAGCCGTGTCGGAAACCTTGCAGGCCCTGGAGGCAGGGCCTCCCTCCCGTCGGGAAGTACAGGGCGTGTGGCATTGCGGCGCCCACCAAATCCACGAGCGCGCCACCGCGCAGTGCTGCGGGGGGCGTGGGCGCGATCTCCGCCGCAGGCGGGGTGCTCACAGCTGTGGGCGCCCAGAGGCTTGGGCCCCTTTTGCCCCAGGCCCCGCTCTCTATCCCGAGCGGCCTGCCTCGACGGTCTTGGGCCCCCGTGGGGGGCCCCGGAGGCCGAAGATCGGCGGCCCGGCCCGGGGGGGGACAGTGAGAAGAGGCTGGCCGTCTCAGGATGCGCTGAAATCGGGAGCCTCGAGACGGGGGTCAATGCAAACGGGGGTCAGCCAGGGCGCCAGATCCTGCAGGATCCTGCGACGACCCCCTCTGGCTGACCCGGGTCAGCGAGCCGCTCGTGGCTGCGAAGCGGCCGCGCGTATTGGCTGACCCGGGTTTGCGAGGACCTGCGTTGCAGCTTTTTTTTCCTGCATTGCAGTTTTTGGTTTCCTGCTGACCCGGGTCTGGATTGACCCGGGTCAGAAGATCCCCGATGAAATCCCCCGGCCGTCGGAGCAGTTGTCTGGGCCTTCCCCCAGGACGCAGGAGACTTCCCGGAAGGCCGGGGGGCTTCGAGGAGCCCCGGCGCCTTCTGAGAGGGCCCTCTTCTCCTTCTCTCGCCTCCCCCCCTTCGCTCGCCGCCGACGAAGTGGACAAGAACGGACCCGACGTGTTCTCCCACGTCGCGAGGAGGCGAGGCTCGACGCGTTGGGTGAGGGCGCGGGCACGGCCCCCTTGGTAGCACCTCCCACTCCACGTCGGTGGAGGCTGGGGGACAGCCCGATCTCGCAGGAGGTCTGGCGCCTCGTCGTCACGGAGCGGCTCGCCACGAGCATTCCCCGGAGAGAGAGAGAGAGAGAGAGAAGTTCACGTCGCGCCGATCGAATGTTTCAATGTTGGCGCTCTTTCTTTGTTTCGGTACCCGGGGGCCCTTTTCGGGCAAGGAAAATCGAAATCCCTCAGAGAAGTGATCGAGAGCTCTGGGGCTGGAGGATGTGCCCACTTGGCCTGATAAAAAAGTGTTGGCCAGAGGATTGGTTGGAGCGTCGGCCAGGGTGAGTATTCGACTGGCAGTTTTTGTCCGTCGCATTTTCATGTGATGACGGTGGCCAAGGAGTGAGTTGTTGGGTTTGGGTATGCCCGCGTTTGAGCAGCCAGACACATCCGACGTCCTACAAGGACCCCAGGAAGCCTCACTAGGAGCTGCAGATACTTCAGCGACCTCCAGAACACCGATTTTCTTTGGCGCTGAGGGAGAGGAGGGAAACCATCGCATCTGGTTCGAAGGGGTGGTGATCTGCTATCGACTACCACTCGCACCAGATGTATGTTGCGCCTCTCGGGTTGGGGGGTGGCAAAACTAGCTGCCTCTCAAACTTCATTATTGCTGGGAGGGCAGCGTGGGTATGATAGTAAGTCACAGAAGCTTGCGCTCGTCTTGGCTTGCATGTATGTCGACGAATAGTGCCCAGTGCGCCCAACAGTTCGCAATAGCGGCCAATAGCGCCCGGTAGCGCCCAATGGCGCCCAGATAGCGCACAATAGCGACCAACAACGCCCAGCAGCGCCATGTGAGGGAGATGCTGAGATGCATTATGTCCGCTTTGCGCGCGATTGGGAGGGTTATTGGGTGCAATCGGGACAAAGCTTCCGTGAGGTGCTGTCTGACGTAGACATGGCATACATATCATGGCCACGCCGATTCTTAAATTTGCGAGTGGGCCAGGTACAGTCGGGGCGTTGACCTAAGGAACCCTAAATAAGGAACGAGGCCCCTTTTTTCCATAAGTTAAATTCTTTACGCTTCGCGTATCCCCACCAGCCCATCTCACAGCAGCAACTCTCGCGAAGCATGCCGACAGTCGTGTTTTTCAGGCGTGTGTCCGCTTGGCCCCGCATATCTCCCCTGTTCCTCCTTCCTCCCGCCTCCTTGTACATCCTCCTTGTGGGGGGAGCGGGAGAAGGACGAGGCGGAGGAGGAGGGAGAGAAAGCGCTCCTCGTGGTTTGAGTCGTTTGGGGTTTCTCGTCCTGGTGTGAGTCGTTCGGGCCCTTCTTCCTGGTGTGAGTCGTTCGGGCTCTTCGTGGTGTGAGTCGTTCGGGCTCTTCGTCCTGGTGTGAGTCGTTCGGGCTTCTCGTGGTGTGAGTTGTTCGGGCCCCTCGTCCTGGTGTGAGTCGTTCGGGCCCCTCCTCCTGGTGTGACTCGTTCGGGCTCCTCGTGGTGTGAGTCGTTCGGGGCCCTCGTCGTGGTGTGAGTCGTTCGGGCTCCTCGTGGTGTGAGTCGTTCGGGCGCCTCGTCCTGGTGTGAGTCGTTCGGGCTCCTCGTGGGGCCTCTTGGGAGCCTCTTGGGGGCCTCTTGGGGCCTCTTGGGCGCCTCTTGGGAGACTCTTGGGGGCCTCTTGGGAGCCTCTTGGGGGCCTCGTGGGAGCCTCTGGGGGGCCTCTTGGGAGCCTCTGGAGGCCTCTTGGGGGCGGCTTGGGAGCCTCTTGGAGGCCTCTTGGGAGCCTCTTGGGGGCATCTTGGGGCCTCTTGGTGGCTTCTTGCGACCTCCTCAGAAGCGCAAATGAGCGCCACCCCCTGAGAAGGACAAAATGAGCCCAAAACCTTCGTAGAATCAATACTTTTGAAACTGTGGGCCATCTGGGGACCTCTTGGGGCCATCTGGTGGACCTTTGGGGGCCCTCTTGGGGGGCTTGTATGAGCGCTGCCCCTCCTCCTGATGTGACTCGATCGGGCTCCAGGTGGTGTGAGTCGTTCGAGGCCCGCGTCGTGGTGTGAGTCGTTCGGGCTCCTCGTGATGTGAGTCGGTCGGGCGCCTCGTCCTGGTATGAGTCGTTCGGGCCCCTCGTTGTGGTGTGAGTCGTTCGGGCTCTTCGTGGTGTGAGTCGTTCGGGCCCCTCGTCCTGGTGTGAGTCGTTCGGGCTCCTGGTGGGGCCTCTTGGGAGCCTCTTGGGGGCCTCTTGGTGCCTCTAGGGCGCCTCTTGGGAGACTCTTGGGGGCCTCTTGGGAGCCTCTTGGGGGCTCTGGGGGCCTCGTGGACGCCTCTGGGGTGCCTCTTGGGAGCCTCTGGAGGCCTCTTGGGAGCGGCTGGGGAGCCTCGGGGAGGCCTCTTGGGAGCCTCCTGGGGGCATCTTGGGGCCTCTTGGGGGATTCTTGCGACCTCCTGAGAAGCGCAAATGAGCGCGACCCCCTCAGGAGGACAAAATGAGCCCAAAACCTTCGTAAAATCAATAATTTTGAGAACAAGGAGCAGCAGCGCTGGCCCCTCAGACGGCCAAAATGGGGCCAAAACCGTAGTAAAATCAAGGGTTTTGGCTTCAGAGAAGAGGAGAGCATTTGTTCTGGGTCCCCCCGACGGGGCCAGAATCCTCGTGAGGGTCGTAGTCTTTGGCCCTCTCTGGAGTCGGAAAAGACCCCTCCAACGACCATCGGGGCGCCCTCTCCAGACCCAGGGGGAGGGGGTATGGGAGAGGGGTAAACCCCTCCCCGAAGGGGAAGAAGGGGGTTGGGGGGTTGAGGACAGAGAGAGCTCTCTAAACCACTCACGCCCAAAGGGCTGGTGGGACTTCGAGTTCCTGTCGAAACCCTAAGCAAAACCAAAGGCGAACTGCGAAACACTCAAGGAACGCGGAGCCCCTCCCCAACCAAAAGGGTTCCTTCTTCAGGGCCCCGACTGTAGCCTAGACACCTCTCAGCATCTTGTTTGGTTTGGGACGAGTGAGGGCACGAGTGCGGCACAGCTTGCACACCCGTGCGCCTTGGACCCAGACCCGCTGGTGGGGCCGCCCTTCTGGCTGGCCGTCCTGCCAAGGAGCGGCAAACTCAGCCCCGGCCCTGGGCGGCGGAGGGGGGCCGAAGAGGCGGAGGGGTCAGCTCGGGGGCGGAAAAGAGGGGGGTGATGACTAGGGGGGGGGGATATCATGGCGGGGGCCATGACATTTCCCCAGATGTCATGGCGCCTCTTCTTATTTCAAAACGTCCCTAGCCCCCCCGCTGGGCCGCGCACATGCCGCCGGTCATGATTTGCACCCCCCCCTCTTAGACACCCCCCTCTTGGCCGCTCCCGAAAGAGGCGGAGGGGTTAGCAAGGGTGGCTCCCGCCAGGAGGCGCGCGGCAGTCTTCATATTGCATATATATATATATATATATATATGTGTATCAGGTTATGTTTCCAGGATTGTGCGCAGTCGCGGGAGAGCTGGGCAAGCCAAGCGCGAGGAAACGCATAATTTTGGTTCGGAATTTCTGCTCGTTTGTGTTCCTTCCTGCCCTGGCGGGAGTCATCGATGCAGTAGGCCTCTCCAGAGGGCATCTGCACACGAGAGATGGTGGTAGCACATCTGGGTATCGGTATGTTCCATCATTTTCTGACGAGGGGTGGTCCGAGCTTGAGCTTGAGGAGGGACTCCTCGAGTGGTGCTGCCCCGTCTCTCCATAGTCGGGGGACAGCTTGCCGAGGCGCTGGGCGCCTCGGTGAGCTGTCCCGACACCCGCCGGACCCGGTGCCGATCCCGGAAGTCCGCGCGGGCATCCGAGAGTTTGTCGAAGACGCCTACGGCGAGTCACCGCCACCCCCATGCCTTCTTGGAAGCGCCTATGCGGCCGAAGGTTGAGGCCAGACCTGCCAAGCCATCGGACCATGCGTTCCCCGAATCGGTCTGGACAGCCTTCGGGGAACACGTGAGCATCTTGAGGGTCATCTTGGCCGCCTGAAGGCCATTTTGACCCTTTTCGGGCCTTCTTGGAGGACGTCTTGGAGGGCTCTTGGGCCGTTTGGGAGGCCATCTTGAGCGTCTTGGGGGCCTCTGAGGGCCTCTGGGGGCCGTCTTGGGGGCCTCTCGGGGCCGTCTTGGGCCTCTTGGGCGATCTTTGGGGGTACTTGGGCCGTCTCGGGCCGTCGGAAGGCCGAAAAAAAGCA